GATCAAATGTTGTTCTTTATAAAATGGAAGAAAATTGAGGATGAGTTGGGACCTAAGCCATTCATTCAAATCAATATATACCCATTCATGACTAAGAGGTACCATTTGGAAGAATGATGAGTAAATCTTTTTGCTAAGGCTCCCTTGACTCCTTGTTGCAGGTATTTTGTTGTTAGCTTGCTACTATTTGTTTCCCTTAATTTGTTTTGGCTCTCTTTATTGGCTGACTTCAATTCAATTTAGCCTTTGCTCTATCCACAACCGTATTTGCGATTCAGCCTATTTGAATTCATGATCTTATTTGTGAGCCTATTCTGAATTTTGGTGGTGATTTTGTGCCATTGGGAAATCCACTTTGATATGGCTTTCGGCATGAGTCATTCACACTTTTTGCAGGATTTCGTTGCTTAATCAAGCTCTTTCAATTTATTGCAAATTTAGCTTCTTAGATTAGATGGCTCGTCTTTTTTATTTTGTAAATTTAGGGTGTATTTGTGATTGTAAATTGGAATATCTAAGATATGTAGAAACATTTCTTATGATTTATTATTTCACATTGATTTTTGATTGATTATGACCCTATTAGATTTGATACTTTCCAACCTGATGCAATTGGAGTTTGTATATTTTTAGGAGTAGTTATATATTTGTACCAACATGACTAGTTTTCTTGATATACTATTGTATGTTGAAAGACAAACTTTTTAAACATGGGCTTTTTACCAATAATCCCACTACTTGGAACAAATAAAATTAGAAGTTTCTTGATGCCAAGTGTCTCTCTTAGTTTCATCTATCCCTCCTTATTGTTCAAGCTCAATTAATGGCATACTCTGCAATTCCCAATTTGTCCATCACTCTCTCCTTGGCTCTCCAGGTTATAGAGCTTATTGCTGCAACTTCTTCTAAGCTTGAACATATCAAATCTTGCTGCTAGTACTGAGGGTGGTCATGATAGTCATCGTCATGGTGGTTGTAGTGGCGGACATGGTTGTGTTCATAATTCCTTTTCACCTTGCCAAAGTTTTCTCTTTCCTCCATTTGTCCCTCTAGTTTATTCAAGCTCAGTTAATGGTAGACTTTGTGGTTCTCAATTTGTC